CCGGGTACAGCGGATGCAGTATACCACATTGGCAGATGTGCAGGTGAACATCTGCTTGATGTGGAAAGTCTTCTTGGGGCCTGGGATGGGGGTGAGGGAGGAGGTATGGGGGCAGGTGTAGCACTTCCTGCGGTTGCAGGGAAAAGTGCCGGGTGTGGTGGGGCTGGAGGGGAGTGTGGAGCGGACAAGGGAGTCACGGAGAGTGTGGTCCCTCCGGAAAGCAGATAAGGGTGGGGGGGGAAAGATGTCTTTGGTGGTGGGGTCGGATTGCAGATGGCGAAAGTGTCGGAGGATGATGCATTGGATCCGGAGGTTGGTGGGGTGGTACGTGAGGACGAGGGGGATTCTTTTTTGGTTCTTATTGCGTGGACGGGGTGTGAGGGATGAGTTGCGGGAGATGTGGGAGACACGGTTGAGGGCGCTCTTGACCACTGAGGGGGGGGAAGTTACGGTCCTTGAAAAACGAGGACAACTGAGATGTACGGGAGTGGAATGCCTCATCCTGGGAGCAGATGCGGCGGAGGCGAAGGAATTGGGAATAGGGGATAGCATTTTTGCAGGAAGGTGGGTGGGAAGAGGAGTATTCTAGGTAGCTGTGGGAGTCGTTGGGCTTGAAATGAATATCGGTTTCTAGGTGGTTGCCCGATATGGAGACAGAGAGGTCCAGGAAGGGGAGAGAGGTATTAGAGATGGTGTTGGTGAAGTGGATGAACTGTTCGAGCTCCTCGCGGGAGCACGAGGTGGTGCCGATACAGTCATCAATGTAACAGAGGAAGAGGTGGGGTTTAGGGCCGGTGTAGGTACGGAAGAGGGATTGTTCCACGGCCCCGACTGTTATTTTTATTCATTTTGTGGGATATGGGTGTCACTGGCTGGCCAGCATTTATTGCCCATTCCTAATCGCCCTTGAAAAGGTGGTGGTGAGCTGCCTTCTTGAACTGCTGTAGTCCACCTGCTGTGAGTTGACCCACGATGCCATTAAGGAGGGAATTCCATTATTTTGACCTAGCGACAGTGAAGGATAGGTGATATATTTCCAAACCAGGATGGGGAGTGCTCAGAGTGGAACTTGAAGGTGGTGGTGTTCCATGTATCTGCTGCTGTTGTTCTTCTGGATGGAAGTGGTCATGGGTTTAGAAGATGCTGTCTGAGTATCTTTGGTGAATTTCTGCAGTGCATCGTGTAGATAATACACACTGCTGCTACTGAGTGTTTGTGGAAAAAAGAGTGGATGCATGTGGATGTAGTATCAATTAAGCGGGCTGCTTCGTCCTGTATGGCTTCTAGCTTCTTGAGTGTTGTTGGAGCTGCACCCATTCAGGCAAGTGGGGAGTATCCCATCACACTCCTGACTTGTGCCTTGCAGAAGGTGGACAGGCTTTCGGGAGTCAGGAGGCTTGATTTGCAGTTGCCTCAGATTTAATGAAAATAAAAGTTTATCTGGTCCTCAGCTAAAAAGAGGGAAGTAATTAACCAAAAAGGATATTCAGCACAGTATTTTTTTTTCCAGGAGCCTTTATCAGAAGGTAGTATGGAGACTGGATGTTTTTGCAGGCAGGCATGTGGGAAAGAGGAGACAGGACTACAGTAATATACTTATGAAACTAACACAAGTTTAGAAGAATTAATGTTCATTTAACATTGACATGGGATTGAGGATTATATTTATAAAAACAGGAAAATACTTCCCAACATAATTATCCATGTAATATTCCATATGTTTCTGTATGTTTAGGTAACAGCTTTCCATATTATAGCAAAATATTAATTACTTTCCGAGTGAGCCTAGCTGGGTAGCAAAAATATCAATGGGATTAAAACAATCCAACTAGACAAATGTGTTCTGGGTTTGACAAGTCAATTGGAAAAGCAAATCTAAATTATGCAATATACCATTTAAAAATGCTATCTTCCACCTTCATGAATATTCCTGTTGATAACTACTTACTCTGCATCAGAAGTCTAAGGAAGTCACTATAGTGATCAGGGAATTGATATTGTAGAACATACATCCAGTGTTTGCAAAAAATGTTAAAAGCCATTTGAACTTCTTCCTCTGGTTGAAAGCCACACAAAGTCAGGGCTAAATGAATGATCTCCAACAGCCGCGTCCGTTCAGGCATAGCTGGCTTGGTAGAATTCAACCACAAAATAAGATCAAACTGTAATATGAAAATAGAAATCAATTTTAATTTTTGGAACAACCTAGTAGGAGCCTTACTCTTGATCAATACATACACCAAAATACAGTTGCTCATATCAGTCACAATCTCTGGGGAAACCATGCATTATGAATTAAAATAAGTATGATAATCTATATAGATGGCAATACACATCATAGGAAGACTCTCTATTCCAAGCACCCTTCCACGCCAGCTAGAAGGTGACTTGGATACGAACTGCAGACCTACAGTATCTGTAGTGCTGGATCAAAATCTAAGAATTCTCTTCCTGACAACACTGTGGGAATAACATTGCTAGGTTTAATTGAGATGCTCAAAATCATGTGCGGTCCAGACAGAGTAGACAGATAAACTGTTTATACTGAAATATTGCCTCTTTCTATGCTTCAGCCATTCTGGAATTCTGTGGTCACCACCAAGATTGCAGACGGTCAAAGAGAAGACTTCAGAAAAGTTATGATTTTTGAGGAAAAAATAGAAAATTACTTTTCTTCTGTTTTAAGTAACAATCTGATGGCTGTGAACACGTTTTTCTAGCAAAGGAAGGAAAACAAAGGGCTTGTCTATACCTGACTAGTATACATGGAATATAATAATTTAAGTAATTAAAAAATGTTAATTATGTGTTACGTTATGCAGAAGACAATGGGAGACGATGGCCTAGTGGTATTAATTGCTGGACTGTTAATCCAGAGACCCAGATAATGTTCCAGGGACCCAGGTTCGTATCCCACCACGGCAGGTGGTGGAATTTGAATTCAATAAATATCTAGAATTAAGAGTCTAATGATGACTGTGAATCCATTGTCAATTGTAGGAAAAACCCATCTCGTTCACTAATGTCCTTTAGGGAAGGAAACTGCCATCCTTACCTGGTCTGGCCTACATGTGACTCCAGACCCACAGCAATGTGGTTGACTCTTAACTGTCCTCTGGCCAATTAGGGATGGGCAATAAATGCTGCCTGGTCAGTGACGTCCTCAGCGTGTGAATGAATAAAGAAAGAAAAAGATCCTTTGCAGACAATATTGGCTCAGATTGTTTTGGTACCAGTAAGAATAAGATGAGAATTGCATGAAAGCATTTAACAAAACTGGAGTCCAGACAACTTGAAATAACTCAACATCAAAAAACAGTACAACAATATTGCAGAGAGAAATCTTATATTAAGGAGAAAAGACAACAGACTAAAGAGAGAGATAAAGCTATAAGATAAAAAAGACAGGAGTAACTAAATAAATAAGATGAAAAAGAGGATGATTGCATCAGAAGATGTTGGACGATTAAGTGCATCTTCTGAACTCAAAATATCTAATATCAATTACTAAAATTGTAGGATAATTGAAGACAAAAAGAGGACAGCAGGTGGAGGATGGAATTCTTTGAAAATATGTACACAATGTATGGGGCAAGGTGGAAAAATCAGCTCTCGAGAAACCACTCTGTACAAATGGGGAAATGATATCCAAGTGGTATTTTGCCAGATTATTAATCCAGAAACTCAGCTAACGTATTGGCTACCAGAATCCAACCATGGCCGATGGTGGAATTTGAATTCAACTAAAAATATCTGGAATTAAGAATCAAATAAAATCATTTCTGATTGTCAGAAAAACCCATCTAGCTCATTATGGGAAAGAAATCTGCCATCCTCACCTGGTCTGGCCTACATGTGACTCCAGACCCACAGCAATGTAGCTGACTCTCAACTACTCTCTGAAATGGCCTCGCAAGCCACTCAATTCAAAGGCAACTAAGGGATCGCCAATAAATGCTGACCAGTTAATGTTTGATTTCTTTGAAATAAAGTGTAAATTTCTATAAATATTCTAAAGTAGGAGGCTCATTTATCAATGAGACGAATGCAGAGTTGTTACTGTGAAAATGATGTAAAGGCTGTTACACAAAATTCTCTAAGAACAAGTGCTTGAAATGCTGGCAAAATTTAACCAATCTTCAAAGAAGGAGACTCAAACAAATATAAAAATTGCAGATTTGACACCATCCAGGTCAGAACAATTTGCCTGAATGCTGTCCCTGTCACTGGATTCAAAATCTATCCCCTCAGCCACTGGTATACTGTGACTGCAGTATGCTCATAAATCTACAAGATACATTGCAGCAATTCATCAACGTTATTTCTGGGAACACAATCACTTTCAAAGTGCTAAGTAAATATCCCAGAATTCTCTACTTAACAACATTTGGAAGTGTATCACCTAAGGACTGCAATATTTCAAACAAGCCCATCACAACTTCATAAAAACAATGCGTGATGAATGCAACAAAAATAGAGATTGCTGGAAAAGCTCAGCAAGTCTGGCAGCATCTGTGAAGACAAATCAGAATTAACGTTTCAGGTCAAGTGACTCTTCCTCCAGTTCAGAGGAAGGGTCATTCGACCTGAAACATTAACTCTAATTTCTCTTTATGGATGCTGCCAGACCGGCTGAGCTTTTCCAGCAATCTCTATTTTTGTTCCTAATCTACAGCATTTGCAGTTCTTTTGAGTGATGAATGCAGTTCTGCCAGTGTTACCTGTACTCCAAAACAAAATATATGAAACTTTAGATAATTAACTGGACAATTAAATCAAAACTAGTCAGATTTCAACGGTTTTTAAAAAGACCAATTTTACCTTCGTTAGTAACATGAAGATGACATCCCCACTATTTGTGTGGAGGACTTTGACAACTTCTTCATAAAGGTTGACAAATTCATCTGGAGATATGTTTGGGGTGAAGTATGGTGACAAAAGGTTGCATAATCTTCTATTCTGAAGAACCTTTTTCAATATAGTTTTGCTTTCTGTTTTAGCACAACTAAGAAAAATCTGCAAAAATCATAGAAAAAAGTTCAGGTTGACACTTAATTGTAAAAGTTTGAAATTTTACTTGTACCAAGTGAAAATGCAATAATCAAAATATGGAGCAAAATAATTCAATACATGCATTAGGTTGTTCTAGGAGTTATAGGGACATAGAGATGTACAGCACAGAAACATACTCATCCATGCCGACCAGATAATCCAAACTAATCTAGTCCCATTTGCCAGCATTTGGCCCATATCCCTCTAAACCCTTCTTATTCACGTACACATCCAGATGCCTTTTAAATGTTGTAATTGTACCAGTCTTCATCATCACTTCTGGCAGTTCATTCCAGACATTCACCACCCTCTGCATGAAAAAAGTTGCCCCTTAGGTCCCTTTTAAATCTTTCCCTCTCACCTTAAACATATACCCTTTAATTTTGGACTCCCCCACCCTAGGGAAAAGACCTTGACAATTCATCCTATCCATGCTCCTCATGATTTCATAAACTTCTATAAGGTCACCCCATAGTTTCCGACACTCTGGGGGAAAACGCCCCAGTCTACTCAGGCTCTCCCTATAGCTCAAACCTGGCAACATACTTCCAAATCTTTTTGAATCCTTTGAAGTTTCACAACATCCTTCCTATAATAGGGTGACCAGATCTGAATGCTGTATTCCAAAAGTAGCCTAACCAATGTCCTTTACAGTCGTAACATAACCTCCCAACTCTTACACTCAACGCACTAATAAAGGCAAGCATACCAAACACTTTCTTCACTACTATGTCCACCTAGTAATCTGCTTTCAAGGAACTATGAACCTGCACCCCAAGGTCTTTTTGTTTGGCAACAGGCCCTAGGACCTTACCATTGAGTGTATAAGTCCTGCCTTGATTTGCCTTTCCAAAATGCAGCACCTCACATTTATCTAAATTAAACTTCAACTGCCACTCCTCTGCCTACTGGCCCGTCTGATCAAGATCCCGTCGTACACTGAGGTAAGCTTCTTAGTTGTCCACTACAACATCAATTTTGGTGTCATCTGCAAACTTACTAACTACAGCTCCTATATTCATATCCAAATCACTTACATAAATGACAAAAAGTAGTGAATCCAGCACCAGTCCTTGTGGCACGCTGCTGGTCACAGGACTGGAGTTAGTTGAGTAACTTAGAAAACCCTAATGATGTGGCATGTTCAAGTTAAACTTCAAATAAGATTAAATTTACTCATTCAAAACATTGAAAATTCCTTTAAAATTCAAAAGGCAGATATTACTGTTATTGTCCAAATGTTTGATAGTTGTGCCAAATTTCCTCCTCTATTTGTAAACAGATAATTTACAAATAGGTAACTAATTTAACCCAAATGCGCTAACACCTTTGTTCAAACAGCGAGAAAGTAATTTTGTACAGAATCTGATTAGAGATCCTCTCTCAATAATTCACTGCTCCCATCCAATATTATCAGCCCTACCCTGCATCCTTTTCCTTTTCGTCTATCTAACCTAAATGATGAATATCCTTCAATATTCAGTTCACAGCCCAGAGCATCCTGCAGCTAAGGCTGCATAAATGACAATTAAATCATACTCTTTTGACTCTACTGGCACCATCGATTCAGCTATCTTGTTGTGAATGCTGTGCGCAGATAGAGTGCTTGAAGATCAACTATACCAGTGACAGTATTACAACATTTTTACATTTCATGCTGATGCTCTGACTTCCAATATTTAATGCTTCTGCTAAAATAAACAATTTTGGACCTGCGGGAAGGGCAACTTTGCTTCAGGACCTTTAGGAGGGAAATAAAAATTCGCTGAGACTCGTGTTCTTGAATGACATCTTCCAACCTCAGATGATTAATGTGAGCACAAAATTTGTGTTTGTTTCGCTAAAATTGTTTGAGAGAAGAATTTCACCCATACCACAACCCAAATGACTGCAAGAATGGACTTATTTTTAATGTCATAAAAATGATATCCAATGCACTTATTTGTTTTATAAATATGTAACATGGAAAAAAAACTTCCATACCTGTCCAAGAATTTCAATACATGATGTAAAGAACTGTCTTGTTGGTGGATGTCGCTGAGTTTCATCACAGACAAAAGACACAATCTCATAGAACAGGGCAATGCCAACTTTCTGAAAAGTTTCTGTATGATGCAGTTTGAAGGCATTTACCAAGGCCCTAGAAAGAATCATAACTTTAATGAGGAAGCAAATAAAGAACGGAGGTATTTTAGAAATCTTAAGATTATGCTGGTAACAAAAAAATCAAAAATAATGCTGATAATTATATACATTTTGTTCACACACAAACATATAAACACATAATTGGATGAACATTTTATACAGTTTGCATTTAGAAAAATGTTGTTTTCATTAATTGGCGATTCAATATTTAGGAATATCACCACAATAATAAAATGGGAGGTGAAAATATTTTTCATAATAATAGTAAAGAGAATTTTTGGACAGGTTTAGCCTGAAAGCAAACTCGAGTACAATGGGATAATTTTCTCATGGGGGCAATGCAGTCTCATTTAGAGTGATTTCATCCAACTCAGATGACGATCCAACAAAGGACTGTTTTCCTTTCGTCAGTGAAGCCAGAAGAGTGATTGAGTTTGGCTAAAATCCTCCCATGTTGGAATGACTTGGCACCTATGAAGTTTACCCTTGATGTAGTACTAGAAGTTGATCAATCCCGATAGAATCTTCTAGGCCTGAGGCAAAACCCTCAGGAGTATGGGTATGACTGACAAAAATCTTCAACATTGTGGCACAGGAGAGGGAACGTTGTCTACATCATCAGATTTGATGTTGACAACAATGAACCAGAAAGGAAACAGAAAGGAACACTATAGAAAAATTACAAAGTGGAAATCAATAACTTCAATAGAGCAAAAGATAGAAAGATGTCATGTGGGCTGAAATGCCTAATAAGGAAGTTTCAGAAGGGTTGAGACATTGTCAAACTGAAACAGCACAATGGCAACAAGTTTAAAATAAATGCACTTGTGTGGATATAAGACAAGTCATCACTTTGACAAATTGCTATTTCACCAGTGATTCGAAGTATTAGGGTTTTAATGCCTCAACCTTATTTTAAAAATGTTAAAAATCACTACTTATCCAGGTAAACAAAAAGTAAATGAAATATACAAACGGAAATTTCAGAACATACTTGTACCTTCCATGAGGGAGCTAAATGAAAGCACGTTTAACTTTTCATTTAACCTCAGAATTAGGTTGTCAAATAAACGTGCATCGATTTTTAGTATCTAGTATACTTGAACATATGATGTGGAAACGTTTGACTTGCATCTGTTAGGACAAGTATAACAGTACCAAATTTCAAAGGGAGTAAGAACTTATACTGTGCTTTCTCTAAGGCAATGGTTTGACCAGGGTCAACTGTCAACCGATTAGCATACTTTTTCATCCAGTATAAATTGCTGCTTCCAATAAAATTTGTCATTCTTGCATCTGGCTTGATGAGTGCAAAGTATTGACAAGCATATTTGTTTTTTCTCAGCAACAACATTATTTCTTTTTGGAATATTAGCTTACGTTATAAAGTTTTCCACATATACAGCAGCTTCAGCAATGTTTTGTGGTGGTGGTTTGGCAACATCAATTTGCAGCTGCTTAATGTCTTTAACTAAATCATCAAGCTGTTTTTGGATGGCAGAATTCTTGTACAATTCTTTACACTGAAATTTGAACAGAAATTGATCAATTAGCTATTTTAAGATTATTTAAATATATACAAGCCAATCTGGATACATTTTAAAATTTTAATTCCCTGCAGCAATATACCACATATTAATATCCCAATACTACTGAGTATGTAAAGTCTACAGGACAACAAAGGCCATTTAGCTCATATAA